AGTAGCCATATTTCTCAGAAAACATATTTTTATTAAATATTTAAATATGCATGGTGATTAACTATGTGCTTCATATCAATGCCTATCAGTTGCTCGAATATGTTTTATGTCAATGTGAACCACCACTATAAAAGAGCACATGTTGGTTTGTTCTTGATAACAATTATTTGCTATAGGCCATGTATATGTTGAGATTAATCTCACATTTTATTATAGCTTGAATTTTTAGACATATATAGCATACCCAGAAGGCGAATTCATAGCACTAGTCATATGATAATAGCACTAGGACAATTTATATGACTAATGTCAAATTGACTTAATTCTGATTTGGAAGTCAATAATTTATTTGTCCAAATCCGTGCATATTGATCGTGCTAGTTTTATCATAAAATTATATCGCATGAGTATTGAATCTTGAATATCTCAAATCTGAGTATTTAAACAAAATAATAGTGCATATTTTCAATATAGTTTTGCCCAGAAGGTAAATACTTAGAGCACTAATTTTTATTTGACATATTTTGGTCTAAACCATCGGTTATGAATATTTGATTGAAAAAGATTCATAGAGCCTAAGTTGATCCCTGAAGGATAGTACGATCAATAAATTATTGTGATCCATTAATGTATAGAATAGAATGCATGATCTGAGAAGTTAATTCTTATGGATCATCCAGAATTATTTGACAATTTAGAATTTACTTCTCTATGTTTAATTTTCTGGACGGGTTTTACTTCCGGATAGTACCTTTCGAATGGTACATGAATCCGTTGTACTCCACTAAAAGTACATAACTAATTTTTTTTTTTAAATAGTGTGGGTCTCATTGTCATATGTGATAGTCACCTTGTACTCCTGTAGTAGTACATGACCAGATTATAATAAGTATTTTGAATGTCATTGAATTTTTTAAAAAGACATCAAAATTTTAGTTTTGTAAGAATGTACTTTATGAGTTCCGAGCCTTTCCTACTTGGCAATATGCCTGGTCATCGGATCATTTTTATTAAAGGTCTAGAAGACTTCTAATGGGATTGATTTTTGGATGACTAATGACTCGTGAAAAGTCTTAAATTTCTATCTTTAGTGCTATGATTATTCATCCAAAATATTTTATGATCATGTCACAAAGTAATACATGATATAGTTATTTAAAATGCTATGTGTTTGAGCTAGAAGTAAATTACGTCATAATAATTTGCCCGAAGCAAATTAGTTGTATATATTTTATGATGATGACTTCTCATATGTTTATGAATTTTTGAGATCCTGAATGGTCTCACCATCTATACATCTATTTGGCATTTAACGTATTTAAGATAGTTGCGTACTCGTATAATCTCATTTAATTAATATGTATGCTTTCTCTATTTTGACATATATGTGCATATACTTATGAGTAATTGTAAAGACCCAAATTCCTTTAAATTATGGCATGGACAATTGGGTTACTTAGGGCAAACATAATGAGTCAGATATTAGAATTTCTTACCCTTTATGAGTAAATTATAAAGCATACATGAATGAGAAATTACCAAATTATTTATTTTTGGGGATATTTGTATTAATTCAAATCTGACCCACTACATATCGTAGTTATTCCCCCATACACATAGTACGTGGTAGAATTACACATTTCCCGATCTGCGTTACTAGTCTTAGTATGTAGTTCATTTTATTGTATCATCACCTCACGCGTATCTCTATGAGCTCAAATTTAATGAAATGCCGAGAAGTTCCATGCAATGGAAAGATCTTCATTAGTTAAGAAATCCACGTACTAGTTAGATTGAACTAGAAGTTCAAAAGATAGTCTATATATTTGCGACTTTAGCAAATAATCTGCCAAACATATCTATTGATCATAGTGATCATAAAAGAGTGACTAGGTTCATATACCTTCCCCAACTTGGACCAAATATATCTACTGATACTCCTTGACGCCAGAGGTGTAGGAGATCTATCGGTGTAAAAGTTAAGAATCATAATACTAGATCTAGTAAATAAACATTGTCACTCTTGAAATAGTTTGAATAATTATGTCCTGCAGACGTTCGTCCAGATTACGAAAAACCCTAGTAAAATTATAAGTGCACCAAACAAACGTAATACTAGGGATGCGGAACGACCAGATCAAAATATCTTTGGAAAATGTCTAGAATCTGGTTGACTTAAATATTTCCATGAACAATTATAAATATGGGAGAGATTTATGAAAGTATTATAATTGTCGACAACAAAATTGCCTTCAAATTGCTCATATTATATGACAATCTAGATCCAAAACTAGGTGCCAGAAGCACCTAGATTGATTAAAGTATAAAGAGAGCAATTAAAGGCATATACAGCTCAACTCGCTAATATATTACTTCCGTACACCATTGAGGTATTAACCATGTAGGCTACAAATGGTGTGGAAGGAAACAAGAATAACGAGGTAATAATGTATGAAGCGAGTTTGTAGCCTATGGGTTCACGCAGAGACCCTTAATTGATTTAATAAATATACTCTCCCACGATAAATGACATTAAGTTCCGCTACATAATATTATTGGCAGAATAATAATAAATTTAGATATGCGGTTAATATTTATTTTGAGAAATCGCTAATGGATTTATAATTCCCGAAATGAGAATTTAAGTGTCATTATTTACTCTTTAAAGGGTTGCGAATGGAGTTAATATCCTCATTGAAGGAATAATATGTACCATTGTGTGCTCGATAAAGGGTTGATAATGAACTTATTTATTATTTATTATCTAAGTCAATATTGATGGTGGAAAACATCAATGAAATATATAAAGGGCTTGATGATGTCAGCCCATATCTAAAGACGGAGTTTTTGAAATAAAAGGCTTGTGAAAGCTAAGTATTATCTCGACTTGAAGATCGAGTTTTTCCATTGAATGAATTTTATACACCAGTTAGCCTATTTTTCACCTATCTATATGGTTAAGCTAAGTATCATGGTTTCGTCAAACTATAAGGTTGCCTAATAATCTCTTGAAGTAGATAAGGAACCGTTTAGACTCGGTAAGGATACCTTAACAGTCCTTTACTTCATTTTTTCGTTGGAGCACCTTTTAGAACCAGAAGTTCCATAATCGCAATAGACATGATATTTGCGATAAAATTGCTAGCAATATCTAAGGCTCCTACTACAAAGAAATATTGGAATAATGTTTATTCCGGGTCACAAAAGATTTTGGCATTTATATGAGAAACAAATGTATGGTTTTGATAGGCTGTTTGGGTATGGGCTATTATATATGTTTGATCCCCGTGATGCCAAAAAAAAAAAACACTTCCAAACTGGTTAAACAATGATTTCCCCCAATGTCCCGAATGAGGACAATAACGCTTGAGTTTGCACAAATAATATATGAGTATGTTAAAGAATAATTGACAAAACATATGTAGCGTCAAAACCAAACCAAGACGGGCTCTAGAAGAGTCGCAAAATTATTGTGCAACATATTCACTCTAGTGACAATCCAGAAGATTTGACTAATCCATTTCTACAATTTTGGATATATATTATGTGTGGATTTGAAGATTGTCTTCTTGAGGGGGAGTATCATTTTACAATCCTGAAGATTGGGTTTTGAAGACTAGCAACTGTATTCTTTTCCTTAGTTAAGTTTACCTCACGGGGTTTTTCCTTAAATCTAAGGTTTTTTAACGAGGTAGTTAATCTAAAGCAAGAATACACATACACCATGCACTTTTTCCTCAAATAGTTTTTCCCATTGGGTTTTACAATGAGGTTTTTAACGAGGCATGTGTAAGATATAGTAATGTAAATGGGGAGAGGTAAACAAACCCCAAAATCCTGATGATTATGCCCTGAAGGCTTATGGTTGTACTCTTTTTTTCCTTAATTAAGTTTTTCCCACATGGTTTTCTTAAGTTAAGGTTTTTAATGAGGCGACCAATATAATATATGTTTTTACATATATCATGTACTCTTTTCTTCAACTAGGTCTTTCCCACGCGGTTTTCCTAGTGAAGTTTTTAATGAGGCATGAATGTATTTCCTATTGTACTCTTTTCTTGTCTAGATTTTTTCCCACCGGGTTTTCCTGGCAAGTTTTTAACGAGGCATGATTATGACAAAATAATGTCCAAGGGGGAGTGTTGTAAAATATAAATATGGACATTATTCTAGCATTAATGATTTGATTAGTAATGGCTTGTTATTTATGGTATGATTATGTAATGCCAGTTATATACATTGATGTAATGTTATCAATGAAGGAAGGAATGAAAAGAGTCCTTTCTCTGATCTTGAATCTTCTTTTACTGTTCTTCACGAGCTAAAGGCCTGCAGACAAATCTGCATTATAACAGTTTTCACTTTTCAATTAATAACTTGGGATTCCATTAATTAAAAGAATTCAATAATACTCACGGAATTGAATCCCCAGCCAATTCTTGTTTGATGGACTCCTCCAACTTTGATAATCATGAAATAAATTTATCATATTTCCTTTACTTTAGTAATTGGAAACAAATTTATAAAATTTCTAATATTGTATCTTAATATATATGTACTTGGAACCAATACATCTTACTCTTCAATTCTTATACAATATTTGTTCCTTTGAAACAAGATCACGTTACAGCTACACAAGTACATTATATTCCCAAATGATTATAGAAAACCAATTGTCTGATTGGCAGAGAGATACTATTGCAACTGTCTTCTACACAGGAACTATTCCCAAATGTTTTGCACTGTTAATGTAAGGTGTTGATTGGTAGTTTCTTACATATAACATAAATCTTGGAGATTATGATTAAATCCACTTAAGAGAACAATTAAGATTGAACTCTTGTAAATTTTGAAGATCAAAACTTCCAAATCTAGAAGATAATACTGCATTCGCAGGATGAAACTAATTCAGTTGAAACTTACTCAAATCAATATTCTTCTTGTCTCCATTGATTGGTGAAAAAAAAAAAAACAAAAAACAAAAAACACTATGCCCTGGCCAACATTTGAATTATTGCACCAAGTAGTGGAAACTTTAGAGCTGGAAAGCTAAAGGTTAAAAAAGCTGTCGGCAATGAATTATTGCACTCAGATCAGTGGCATTACCCAATTCCACCCATCTTGCTTTGCTTTGATCTGCTAATCTGCACTCAAACAAACTGAGAAAAACTACTCTCATTTCATTTACATTACACCTATACTAACAGAGAGAGATACAGATCGAGAGAGAAAAGAATGGCTTGTGTAGCTGTAAATTCTCTTATCACAACATTAGAGCTTGAGTTCTTGCAACCTCACCCTCGTCCAATCCTACAACAAATGGAACTCATCCCTTTTAACAAAGACCTCATCCAATCTCTCCATGCAAAGCTTGGTTTTCTGATACAACTGTTCGACGAGTTCAGAATGGATGGTGTTGAAGCAATTAAAGACTTGGAAACAAAGCTCAGAGATGTAGCTTTCAGAGTAGAAGATGAAATTGAACACCATGTGGTACATCTCTATAAAGAAGCTGACGATGAAATGGGACAAGGGGACACTGAAGCCAAAAAAACCCAGCATTCTCATAGACTTAGTCATGTATTGCAACAAGCAATAAAAGACATTGATGCTATTAAAGAAGAGCTGGAGAAAGTCATGATGGAGTACAAGCATGTCATAGCTGTGCAAGGAAGGGAGACTACACTTGATGATGATGTTAATCCAAAATCTGATGATGAACTTGTCAAGATGGACGGTTCCAGTTCCTCCAATCATGCTTCACACACTGATGACATAATGGTTGGGAAAAACAATGAGTTCGAGATTATAAGGAAGATGCTAATACAACATCCATCTAAACAACGAGAAGTCTCAATTCAAGGTATGGGAGGAATCGGCAAGACAACGTTAGCAAGACGAGTTTATGAAGATCCATCTATTGTCTCCCACTTTGACAAGCAAATATGGGTTGTTGTATCACAACATCACAATAAGAGGCAAATGCTCTTAGATCTTGTTGCAGGTTCTAAAGACAATCTAAAAGACAGCAGTGATGAGGACCTAGCATTAAAGCTCTACCAAAGTTTGAAGGGTCAAAGGTACTTGGTAGTGATGGATGATGTATGGAGCAGAGAGTCATGGAATGAAGTTAACTCTTGCTTTCCAGATGATATAAATGGGAGTCGAGTATTGTTGACTACTCGCGTTGCAGAGGTGGCTACTTGTATTGGCTCTAACAATTACTTTTCCCATCAAATGCAGTTTTTAGATCAAAGTGAAAGTTGGGAATTATTTCATAAAAAGGCATGCAAATCTCAGGGTGTTGAATTTGATACAATTGGGAGACCAATTGTTGAGAAATGTAAAGGATTGCCTTTGGCAATTGTTGTGGTAGCAGGTTTATTTTCAAAACTCAATACACTACATGAGTGGAAGAAAACTGCTAATGCTCTAATAAGTTCTACTTCAACATCAACTCTAGATGACGAAGAATGTTGGACAATCCTCTCATTGAGTTATAGTCACTTGCCCCATAATTTGAAAGCTTGTTTTTTATATTTAGGAGTTTTTCCAGAAGATAAAGTGATCAATGCTAACAACCTTGCAAGGTTATGGGCTGCGGAAGGACTTGTAAAGGCATTGAAGAATGAGAGTTTTGAAGCGGTGGCTAAAAGGTACATAAATGAACTTATGGATAGAAACTTAATTCTTGTAAGCAAAAGAAGTAGTTGTGGAAGAAAAATTAAGGAGTTTAGAGTACATGATTTATTGCATGCCTTTTGTGTAAGAGAAGGTCATAACCAGAGTCTTTTGCATGTTGTGGATGAAAGTGGTTGCAATTTCCCTCAGAAAGGTGTCCGTTGGATAAGAATCGAAAGGGTGTCATTTAAAGATTTTGACATCTCTGCGCTACATTCTCTGTCAAAACACTGCCGGTCCATCTTTCATTTTGCGCTGTCGCCCATAGATTCAATAATTTTGGAAATTTTCAGCCTATTGAGGGTACTCTATGTTGCTGAATACCTTTTGCCAACTCCGACTGATGTTCATATTCATTTGAGATACCTATGGATATCCAGGCAATGTGATTCTTGTCATTCATTTTTCTCCAACGCTTGGAATCTTCAAACATATCGTGTGTTTCACGATATGGGATTGCGCCATTTGGAGCTTCCACAACTACAGTATATTAGCTGTCGAAAACTTTATGGATCTTTTCCCGAACCTGCTCATCAAAACTTGCAGGTCATTTCTAGTTTGCAGGCTAGTCAATGCGACCAAGAGTCGTTAACAAAAGTTCCATACCTAAAGAGGGTAGGAATTACTATAGGCAACCCCAATGATTGCATTAAGAACATTGACTGTTTACAGCAGCTCGAGAGTTTGTCTCTTCATTTTGATTCATTGAGCTATGGAATTCGGGATATGATGGCTCAAATCATTAACAATATTCTTCTCTTGAAAAACATTAGGAAGTTGAGGTTTGATTTTATGAAATCTGAGTGGAAGGCAATTAATGTTTTGAGCAAGTTACCAAGGTTTGAAGTGCTCAAGTTAAGGTATTCTAAGCTTGGAAAAAAGTGGGAAGTACCAGAGAATGTGAAATTCTGCCACTTAATTTGTTTGAAAATTTCGCATGATAATCTCAAGCATTGGGAAGTTGGTGCAGATAATTTTCCAAAACTTGAGCGGCTATTCCTTAACAAATGCTTTAAATTGAGAGAGATCCCGAATAGCTTTGCAGAAATTCCAACATTGAACTTAATCCAATTAAAGAGGTGTCGTCCTTCTGCAGTGATGTCAGCCAAGCAAATTGAGGCTGAACAGCATGACTATGGAAACGAGAATATGGTTGTCATTGAGATAGACACAATAGAGGTCTCTCGATCAATCTCCATTTCTTTTTATCAATTGCTTTATATTTCAGTCTCCTTTAATTTTTCTCCCAACTTCATTTAGTGTCATCACAACGTAATTTGTTTTCATTGATTCATGACAGTTTCGCCCTCTTGAAGATGACTCCGATGAAGGCGAGTTTGACGAAGATGACTCCGATGAAGGCGAGTTTGACGAAGATGACTCCGATGAAGGTGAGTTTGACAAAGATGACTCCGATGAAGGCAATTTTGATGAAGATGACTCCGACGAAGGCGAGTTTTTGTGGGAAGAGCAGATGGTTGTTGTGGCTGTTTTTGCAATTTTGGTGTTTGAAATGGTTTCTGGTTCACAGGTTCTTCAGCTGAAAATTGGAATAGGGTATAGATTACTATATTTCTGTCTTGTATTGCAGGCCTGGCTGCTTCTAGGAATGAACAAATGAACAATATAATCTGCTGGATTTAAGGCTTGCTAGATGGATTTAATACTCAATATAGTCCTCGACTATAGTTGTTTTACTCGATTTAATTCTAAGTGATTTTTTTTGTGTTTAATTTAGTCGTCAACTTTTGTAGTTTTTGCGTACAACTCCTTTATGTTCTACTATCATTCTGTCTAAAATTTCTTCTTTGTTTTTCCCTTACTGTGTGAAATGTGAATGAAAACTGCCGTGGAATGTGGAATTGTGCAATGGTTATTTTCTTAAGTGCAGATTTGCAGGTAATAGAGGAGAAAAACAGATTTTAATTCAAACATTTAAATTCTACTTCATTGAAACTAATTTGGTTACTGTACCTATAGTTTCATAAATATTTCAAATTATAATATTCGGCTAGTGAGTAGTGATTTTTTTAATGTGTATTATAATATATGTGTTATGATATTGGCTTTCAATTTTTGGCAGAAAAAAGATGGAGGCAGAATTTTTTTTCACTGTTAAATGTTGCAGAGAAGACTCATGGTTTGTACTTTTATTATGATGTCAATTAAACACTGAGGTGACTATTGCTTTGATATTTATAACTTACAAGGCATCACTTTTTCCTTGTTCTTTAAATTTTTGTTAGCTTATGCCACTTGAAAGATTTCTGTATATCTATGTAGAGTTACAGACTAATGCATGAGAGTGATTTATGAGTATCTTTCAACTGATGATGAATTAAGAACAATGATTTTTTTGAAACAATGATTTTGATTTTCATGAAGCTTTATATGTGGAGAAATTTGTATCACCTGAAACTAGCAAAATGTTGGCCAAAGTGTTCACTCCCTGAAAGTTGTTGTACCTTTGATAATTATATTGGTCTAGGTCGTGTAGAATTTCTTAAGAAATTAGTGATTACATTAATTTCTTCTACATAGTCATGTGATGGTGACTGAGGAAGAGGTAATTCTTAGGTGATTGTTACTGCCTGGAGTGCCTGCTGGTACTTTCTTTAGTTGTCATTTAAGTTTTGTTCATTTGGTTAATTTTTTTTTTCTCTTATAATTCCTTTCAAAAAATTGGTTTTATTTGTGTTATTTAATTCCAGCTTCTTATAATCCCTTTCAAAAATCCTACACTGATGACAACATTACTCTAACATCGCGATTGCCTGACAATGCTAATTCTGTAAATGTACAAGGTGAAATTGAGAACTTGAAGCTTGTTAGTGTTACTATTATTATTGTTATTTTATTATATGTATCATAGTTTATAATTGTGTGGCCATAAAATAAGTCTTAGATGATTAGTCTATTAGTCAGGAGTGTTTAGTGGTGTAATATGATATACTCTTCTGTAATCTCTTTTGGTTGTAACTGAATGAAATTATCTCTCTAATTTGGTATCAGCCTTACCGATCCTTCTTATCGCTTCCTTTATCCCAAAACATCCCAAACACCACCGCCAAACCGCCATGTCTTCCAATTCACCCGAGAGAACAATCTCCGCCGCCGGTGGCTCCTCCCCGACCGGCACAAATCCTCTCACCGGCGCTCACCACTTCATCTCTATGAAGTTAACGAGTAGGAACTTCCTCTTTTGGCTCACCCAGCTTATCCCATTCTTGCGTGGGCAAGGCCTCATCGGGTTTGTCGACGGCAGCACGCAGTGTCCTCCTCCAACCGTTGCCGCAACTCCCGCCAGAGAGTCGAGCTCCAGCGCTACCACGACTGATCCGATCCCCAATCCGACACACAATGTGTGGGTTCAACAGGATCAGTCGATCCTCTCCCTTCTCATCTCCTCAATGTCCGACGAAGTCCTCCACCTCGCAGGTGGCCGGAGCACCGCCGCGAAGGTTTGGCGTTCCATCTGCACGGCGTTAGGGTCGAACACTCAGGCGCGGTGCCTCAATCTGCTAGGCCAATTCCAGTCCCTCCGGCAAGGCAATGCGTCGTTGGCAGACTATCTCGGCTGGGCAGAGCTTCTAGTCAAGGCACTTGCCCAGGCCGGCCAATCTCTCTCCCTTGCAGAATAGAATCTGTACGTCCTGAGAGGCATTCGACCGGAGTACAGGACATATGCTGCCTCCTTGACTGCCAACTCTCCGGTGGCCCTGCCGTAGATGGCTCCAAGCCGCCGATTTCATTCTCGCCGGCGACTATCCCACGGCGGCAGATGGTGGTCTTGGTGGCTCGCATACCGGGCGATGTATGCTGGACGTGGGCGTGGTGGCAGTAGCAGCTCGCATGGAGAAGGTGACCGGCGTGGTGGCAGTAGCAGCTCGCATGGAGAAGGTGACCGGCGAGGTGGCCGCGTCGGTCGCAACAGCAATCACGGACGTGGTGGCCGTGGCAGGAAAGGTGCACCAAGGTGCCAAATTTGCCGGTCACACGGCCATACAACAGTTTACTGCTTCAAACGGTACTCTACTCCACCTCCGGCTCAAGCCAATGTGGCGGTTTCCAGCGACACCACGGCGGCGCCCGTACCTCCGGCGAATGCGTGGTATCCCGACACCGGAGCCACGGCACATGCCACACCCGATACCGGCATGTTAAATAACTCGGAGGATTATGGCGGCTCGGACACGCTCCGGATTGGAAATGGTACAGGTTTGGCTATCTTGCGAATTGGCCATGCATCTATTCCATCCGTGTCAAAACAATTATTCATGTCTAATGTGTTGCACGTCCCTAAATTAACCGTTCAATTATTATCTGTCCAAAAATTCGCTAATGATAATAGGGTTTATTTTGAGTTTCATGACAGTTGCTTTCTTGTGAAGGATTCCAAAACCAAGGCCACACTTCTTAAGGGTCTTACCTCGGGCGGTCTATACAAGCTACCTGTGTCACGGTGCCACTTTGCGTTTGTTAGTTCCCGTGCTACCGCCGGCGGTATGGAGTCGCAGGCTTGGTCACCCACACAATCTATTTCAAAATAAAGTCCTCCAGAATTGCTCAGTTCAGTCAAAAAATGTCAAAGATTTGGGGTCGTGCACAGCTTTCCATCTCGGCAAGTCCTCCCGTTTCAAGTTATATAGGATTGATAATTCTAGCCAAAATGTACTAGATCTCCTATATACAGATATCTGGGGCCCTGGCCCTGTAGTGTCGGTTTAGACACACTGTAGTGTCTAACGCGCGGTGCATAATTGATCATGCATCGTGGTGCATGATATAATTTGCCGCTATTAAGCTAGCTGCAAACCTGCAATTCATGAAAGTGTAAAAAAAAAAAAAAAAAGACAAAAAAGGACATCTTCATAAAATTTAAATTAGTTTGTTTACATATTAAAATTTAACATTTTGTCTTCAAAAAAATTAAGATTTTGAAATAAAACTATTAGCATAATCATGATCTAGCATCCCATAATGAATTGAAGTAGCAATATTGTTGCAAATCTCCTTCAGCTAATAATAATAATAATAATAATAATAATAATAATAATAATAATAATAATAATAATGGATCCGGTGGTTCGCCGGCGACACATGAGCTTTCCGGCTGGGAGAGTGCTTGGATATGTGCCGGAAGTACTCGTTCACTTCGCATAGGTCAATTCGGGTGAAGGAAGAAATTGGATGTAAAATGATGGGTTGCGAAATTACAAAATTGTCCATGATTTTTAACACTAGTTAGTGAAAAATTTGACCGGAGGGTTACATTGACTACAATTAAAACAATTGAGGGATCAATTTTACAAAATTGACAATGAGGGACTACATTGCATATCTGGGAACAATTGGGGGACTAAAAGTACAATTTTCCCTAATAATAATATTTGCGGTGAAAGTTGCGGATAAAAGAGAAGAGAAAAATGTTTTAATTGGGAAGGATAAATAAGTTCATTTCTTTAAAATAATAATGATAAAGATGAAAAAAAAAAAGTTAGGAAGCTACTAGCTTATTTTGAAACGTTACCTAAAGTAGCGTTCCAAAATAAGCTCTTATTTTAAGCTATGGGCTTATTTTGGAAATATTATCAAACAGAGCTTATAACTTATTAGTAGCTTAAAATGAGTTATAAGCTCCTAAATAAGCTCTGTGAAACAGAGCCTTAGAATTTTAAACTTGAGCGCCTAATTCTTCATAATTATTGTCATTTGAGAGAGATCTTAAATAGTTTTGCAGAATTCCCCTCTGTTTTCCATTTTTCATTTCTTCAATTTTCCATTTCTCTTGTTTTCAATTTTTTTCTAAGAAAAAAGGGTTAGAAATGTTGTTGTAAGGGATTGAAATGTAGATCTACTTTCTCCATTTCTTCAAATTTGGATATCGAATTAGTTAAATGAATTCTCCAAATTCTAAAAAAATTTCTCCATTTTTCAATTTGGAAAAAAGGTTTTAGTAAATAAGTTTGGCCATCTTTTGTTTTCAATTTCTCCAATTTTTTTTTTAAATGACTCATTTCTTTAAAGTATGAAATTGTCTTCCTTTTGGCATCAGATTCTAGTGGCTATGGCGCTGGAAGAAAGGCGAGGTGTTCAATAACCATACGTTGTCGATAGACCAAAAGATGGAGTGGCTTAATCGCTAAGATATTGAGGTAATTAAAGGCGGCGTTTGCAAAAAGATGGACTCCGGTGAGGAGAAGCACGCCGACTGTCGACTCCCAAGTAGCATGGACTAAGCCGGCCAATGGTTGGATGAAACTCAACGTCGACGACTGCTACAAGGGTAGTGGAGTGGCAGGCTGTGGTGGCCTTTTAAGAGACTCGCATGGGAGCTGGTGTAGAGGCTTCACATATAACTTAGGGAGATGCTCAATTGAAGAGGCTGAGGCTTGGGCTATTCTGCAGGGGATCCGTTTGGCGAAGGATTATGGCGTAACTACACTCTTGGTTGAATGCGACTCAAAGACCATTGTGAATAGCTTGCGCAGTGTTCCTGATGGGCATGCCTAAAGCAACAATATTGTTCGGGGCTGCGCCCGAGAGGCAGCAACTCTAACTGAAGAGGCCTTCAACCATGTTTACAGGGAACAGAACAAAGTTGGTGATAGCCTGGCCTCGATGACGCTCTCCCACCAGATCGGGCTTCGAATTTTAGAGGATTTCCCCCAGAGCTTTGGGATGCTATTCGTCAAGACCTGATTGGAGCCAAATTTTCATGGAGAATTCCCCAGGACAGAGTTAGGGGAAACGATTGTAGCTTGTGTTTTTGGGTGTCCCCTCATCTATGATAAAAAACAAAAAAAAAATGAAATTGTCTTCCTTTTGCCATGAGTCACCCAAGCAAATTGAAGCTGAGCAGCGTGACTATGGAAACAACTAACACAGTAAAGATCTCTCACCCTTACTCTTTCTCAATTGCTTTTCATTTCACTCTCAACACATCAGTTAAGGGTGTGTTTAGTTCATTGGTTTACACACTAGCAATGTGAATCAAAATCTCATAGTTAGTGTTCTGTTGACAATTTTTTAAAACAAAATTACGGGATTTGATTAACCTTTTAATTAAAACTTCATCCCATAATTTAAAAGGGGTATCATTCCATCTTATTGGTAATTAATATGATTGTTAAGTTTGGATTAGTTCCTTTAAATTTTTTATTTGATTTTTTTTTTTGTTCATATTAGTGTTTTGGATATCATTATATTAAAATCAATTGTCTTAATTTTTTATTTTTGTATTTTTAAAACCTTTATTCTCATTATAGAGTGATACACAACCAAACATCAATATTGACAATCATTCCAATTCCACTATACTACCAAACATGTAAAATACTTTTACCAAAACACATTACAATTATCAAGTATTTGATTCTCATTTCGATTTTGATTTCCTTTTGCGAACTAAATACACCCATAGTTTCATCATATTATTCACGAGCAAATACCAATTTTGGTCCCACGAGTATTAGCAAAATGACAGTTTTAGTCCACATGTTTAATTCCTACCAATTTTCATCCACGACTATTACTTTAGTACCAATTTTCATCCACGACTATTGTTTTAGTGCCAAAATTCATCACGCCGGTCACACATTTGTTTAAAACATGTCGAACTATGAAATTATTAAGGGTATTTTCGTCTTTTTAAAATTAAGATCCCAATTTGAGCATGAATAAAATGATTTAAGCCCTAAGATCTATCGCGATTCGCAATTTCTCTTCTCAAATTAAAGTAGGATGAGGAGGAGAACTGCCAATTGAGACGGATCTTAGGGCTTACATCCCTTTATTCATGCTCAAATTAGAGTCTTAAGTTGGAAAGGACGAAAATGCCCTTAAAATTTTTAGATTTTGACATGTCTTGGATGGAGGGGTGACCGGCGTGATGAATTTTGGTACTAAAATAATAGTCATGGATGAGAATTGGTACTAAAACAATAATCGTGTGATGAAAATTGGTAGAAATTAAACATATAGACCAAAACTGTCATTTTACTAATACTTATGGGATCAAAATTGGTATTTGCTCTATTATTCACTCTCTGAACATGCCAATAGTATTGACATAACTTTATTTAATTAACTCACAATAGTGGCTTAGCATTGAGAAAGTGGTGGGTACAAGCCATGAAAAGTCTGTGGGTTTAATTGTTTAATTTATTTAACAACTGTGCACATGGACTACTAACACATATGGCACATAAAAAATTCACCCATTTAATTATATTACAACTAAGCTAAGGAAAAGTAAAAAGGATTTGGACGTGCTGACAACACATAAACAAATTTTCGGTAGCTGTAAGATTCCACTAAACATTAAACAATTGCAGCTCATGTTATGTCGTCATTCTCTAACTCTATAATCTTTACAAGTTGCAGTTCTGCTAACCAACTCATCTTTTCGTTCTCCAATCTCTCACGTCAATGGTCTTTCGCATTACCCAATTCCACTCATCTTGCTAGCTTCTGCTAATCTTCACACTACACCAACACAGAGAGACAGAAAAAAGAATGGCTTGTGTAGCTGTAAATTCTCTTATCAGAACATTAGAGATTGAGTTCCTGCAACCTCACCCTCGTCCAATCATACAAGAAATGGAACTCATCCCTTTTAACAAAGACCTCATCCAATCTCTCCATGCAAAGCTTGGTTTTCTGATACAACTGTTGGACGAGAGCAGAATGGATGGTGTTGAAGCAATTAAAGAGTTGGAAACAAAGCTCAGAGATGTAGCTTTCAGAGTAGAAGATGAAATTGAACTCCATCTGGTACTTCTCTGTAAAGAATTGGATCTCTATTTGGGACAAGGGGACACTGATGAAGCCATAAACACACCCCATTCTCATAGACTAAAACTTAGTCATGTATTGCAACAAGCAATAGAAGACATTGATGCCATTAAAGAAGAGCTCGAGAAAGTCATGATAGCTGTGCAAGGAAGGGAGACTACACTTGATGATGAACTTGTCAAGATGGACGGTTCCGGTTCCTCCAATCATGCTTCACAAACTGAGGACATAATGGTCGGGAAAAACAATGAGTTCGAGACGATAAGGATGATGCTAATACAACATCCATCTAAACAACGAGAAGTTGTCTCAATTCAAGGTATGGGAGGAATCGGCAAGACAACGTTAGCTAGACGAGTTTATGAAAATCGATCAATTGTCTCCCACTTTGATAGACGACTATGGGTTGTTGTATCACAATATCACAATAAGAGGCAAATGCTCTTAGATGTTCTTGGTTCTAAAGACAATGTAAACAACAACAGTGATGAGGACCTAGCATTACAACTCTACCAAAGTTTGAAGTGTCAAAGGTACTTGGTAGTGATGGATGATATATGGAGCATAGAGTCATGGAATGATGTTAAATCTTGCTTTCCAGATGATATAAATGGGAGCCGAGTATTGTTGACTACTCACATTGCAGAGGTGGCTACTTGTATTGGCTCTAATAATAACTTCTCCCATCAAATGCAGTTCTTAGATCAAAGTGAAAGTTGGGACTTATTTAGTAACAAGGCATGCAAATCTCATGGTATTGAATTTGAGACAATTGGGAGACCAATTGTTGAGAAATGTAAAGGGCTGCCTTTGGCAGTTGTTGTGGTAGCAGGTTTATTTTCAAAACTCAATTCACTAGATGAGTGGAAGAATACTGCTAATGCTCTAATAAGTTCTACTTCAATATCAACTCTAGATGATGAAGAATGTTGGAGAATCCTCTCATTGAGTTATAGTCACTTGCCCCATAATCTGAAAGCTTGTTTTTTATATTTAGGAGTTTTTCCAGAAGATTATAAGATCAATGCTAACGACCTTGCAAGGTTATGGGCTGCGGAAGGACTGGTAAAGGCATTCAAGAATGAGAGTTTTGAAGCGGTGTCTAAAAGGTACATAAATGAACTTATGGATAGAAACTTAATTCTTGTAAGCAAAAGAAGTAGTTGTGGGAGAAAAATTAAGGAGTTTAGAGTACATGATTTATTGCATGCCTTTTGTGTGAGAGAAGGTCATAACCAGAGTCTTTTGCATGTTGTGGATGAAAGTGGTTCCAATTTCCCTGAGAAAGGTGTCCGTTGGATAAGAATGGAAAGGATGTCATTTGAAGATTTTGACATCTCTGCATTACATTCTCTGTCAAAACACTGCCGGTCCATCTTTTATTTTCTGGAGAGCCCCAAACATTCAATAATTTTGAAATTTTTCAGCCTATTGAGGGTACTCTATGTTACTAATTTCAATTCAACAAGTCCGACTGTTCATATCCATTTGAGATACCTAAGGATATCCATGGCATATAATCTTTGTGATTCATTATTCCCCAACGCTTGGAATCTTCAAACATTTAGTGTGTCTGGAGATATAGAATTCAACCATTTGAAGTTTCCAGAACTACAGTATATTCACTGTAGGAAATTTAATGGAGCTTTTCCCAAATCTGTTCATCAAAACTTGCAGGTCATTTCTGGATTGCAGGATAATCATTATAACCAAGAGTTCTTAACAAAAGTTCCATACCTAAAGAAGGTAGGTATTATTGTAGGCACAACCAATGATTGCACTAAGATCCTTGTCTGCTTACAACAGCTCGAGAGTTTGTCTCTTCTTCATTCTCTAGTGAACACTTCAGCAGCGGAAATCATTACCAATATTCTTCTCTTGAGAAACATTTGGAAGCTGAGTTTTTATTTTATGAAATCTGAGTGGAAGGTAATTAATGTTTTGAGCAAGTTACCAAGGCTTGAAGTGCTCAAGTTAAATGGTGTTTACCTTGGCAAAAAGTGGGAACTACAAGAGAATGTGAAATTCTGCCACTTAATTTTTTTGAAACTTTTTCCTTTTGCATTCGAGCATTGGGAAGTTGGTGCTGATAATTTTCCAAAACTTGAGTGCCTATTCCTTAAGGGATGCATTGACTTGAGAGAGATCCCGAATAGCTTTGCAGAAATTCCAACATTGAACTTAATCCAATTAGAGCAGTGTCATCCTTCTGCAGTGATGTCAGCCAAGCAAATTCAGGCTGAACAGCACGACTATGGAAACGAGAATATGGTTGTCATTGAGAAATACACAATAAAGGTCTCTCCATCAATCTCCATTTCTTTTTCTCAATTGCTTTGTATTTCACTCTCCTTTAATATTTCTCCCAACTTCATTTAGTTTCATCACATCCTAATTTGTTTTCATTCATTCATGACAGACTTGCTCTCTTGTAGATGACTCCGATGAAGGCGAGTTTGATGAAGACAAGTTTGATCTGATCAACAATATTAATACTGAATTATCTTTAACTTGATTTGAACCCATTCACTTGATTGCTATGTCTTTCTTTCCTTTGGATTCAAGTTGGGATTGGTGGTAAGAACTATTCCTTTTTTGTATCCTTTTAATGCTAAGTCTAGTGTAACCTGTTGCACTAGAATGGCTTTATTAACAACTACCCATTCAAATTTGGTCAGTCCCCTCTCTTCCTACTACAATGTTATTACTCCTAACTCCTGGGCATACCTATTGTTTCTCATAAAATTTCTTAGTATAGGACATTTTGTCTCCCACCTTCTTTTTGCCTACTTGAATGGAGGAATCTTGTTACTCGAGTAATTTGCTGCACCAAATTACTTCTTGATCCTACCCACCCTAAATGACTATCTCCTCCCAACTTGTCCATTCCAACCACCACTACAAGCAAGAAAAGAAGAGTGAAAAAATAAGCGTAAAAATGTTATCAAACATGCTTAGTTTTGACATTTTGGTTTGCTGAGATGAAACTGATAAAAGGAAAATATGGTCCTTTAAATGCTCAAGTCCTCTTTGGCTCTTTTCAATCATTAAATATTTTGATTGATTTATTTATTGGCAGGCTATAGCAACACAAAACAAGGAACAAGCTCGCCAAATATTACATACAATTCCTAACTTACCTAAACCAATTTTCCAGGTGGCTAATGATCTTTTGCTTTCTTTATTGCAAGATTCTACATGATCACCTATCTTTTGGAGTTATTGACAACAGAAATTTCTGCTTTAATTGTGAAACTTCTGCTTTAATTAGGAACTTTAAAAGAATATTTAACTTTTGAAAGAAGCCAACTACTACTAGTAATAGGATTCATAACAATACTAAAAATAATCTCAATCTTTCCAGGCTTCTAAATCTGTGAAAACCTAAGGGTCGAAGCTCCTTTATATTCTTCCCCTTGTCTAGCTAGATCAAATGTATTTTTTCATATGCTACGCTGCTTTTTTGGAAATTGATCTGTGTTATGGTGCCTTGAAATTCCTTTCACAGTTGTCTATTGGCAGTATGACCAGCTTACAATCATTATTACTTGTATGAGTGTGTTCTTATATGGCAGCGGCATAGTCATTTTGTGTGTTTTCACATCCTTTTTTGTCTCTTACTTGCAGGCACAACTAATGCTGGGATTGGTTACTCCTCAAATGGTTTGTTCTGTCGAATCTCTGTTGTATTCTATTGGCTCAACTTTCCTTTTTTCCTTTTTGTTTGCTATAACTTTTTTACCCTGGACATGTGGTTATTATCATACTGTATTTAATGATCTTTCAAATTTGCAGTTACAGATGCCTAATATTCGGCAGTCCTCTGTTCCTCCACCTCATTCCATATTGCCAGACAGTTGGAACACTTCCTGGGGGGATACCTCCCCCTCACAGTTCATTGGCCCAGACACAACCTCAGCTTCAGCTTCCACAATCAGCTGAAAACAACATTTTCGCCCACAGGGTAATTTGAGTGCTACCCTGCCCTGCCGATTCAAGTTGGCACTTCCACTTCCTCTTCTTTGAAGCAGCAAATGCATCATCCTTTGTTACCTCTCTTTCACAGATGCAGATAACCCCAGATGTAGAGTCTGCCTTATTGCAGCAAGTGATGAGTCTCACGCCAGAACAGTTAAACTCATTGCCCCCGGATCAACGACAACAGGTCCTTCAGCTTCAACGGATGCTTCGGCAGCCAACATAAGCCAAAGGACCGAGAGTTCGGATCCCCAGTTATCAGTGAGCTGCTCTTCCACTCATCCAAACAAAGGGGTCATCATCAGCACAGCCACGAAGCAGAATGTGTACAAAACGGTTGCCTTTGTGGCCATATAAAGTATGTACAAAACGGTTGCCTTTGTGGCCATATAAAGTATGTGTTCGTGTGGCATGCAATGCTGTTTCTTAAATCAATTTTCCTGTTGTAAATTTATCTTATTTTTTAAAGATTAGCATAGGATAAATGCTAGGACGGTTTTCCATTCATGTAACGATGTATTAACACAGATTGAATGAATAGGGAGGAGAAAATTTTGGGATTTTTTTTGGCACTGTTTTGCTCACTATAGTTTGAGATGAACTGAGTTACAAATTCATTTTGAGAACTATATACACAAACTATATTGTTTTCTCTTTGCCCTCCACTCATAGTACTTGCCTATTATTTTTATATCTCTTTAGATTGAATCAAATAATATTTTGTGAAAACCAAACTTATTTATGAATTTGGTACATAATTAAAAAACCCAATGGATTAATGGTGAATTCCTCATATTGAATAGTATATAAGTATGGGAAGGTAAGGATGCACTTTTGTATTTCATATAAAGCTGTACAAATGAACTTTGTATATATACAAGGAGGGAAAGAAACTCTCATCAATCAACCCTGGCCATACTATCTTAAGACCTTTTGTAAACAAATCAGTCAATTGATCACAACTTTTAAGATGAACATTAGAGAGCAGTTTTTGTTGAATTTTGTTTCGCAATAAGTGATAATCTACTTCAATATGCTTAGTACACTCATGAAACATATGATTATTTGAAATGTGTATCACACCACAAAGGAACTGGTTTATTCAGCTCTACACCAATCTCCCCAAGAACATTATGTATCCAGGTTATCTCACAAGTCACATGGGTCATTGCTCTATATTCAGATTTTGCACTAGAGCGAGACACAACACTTTGTTTCTTACTCTTCTACGAGACTAAATTGCCACCAAAGAATACACAATATCCCGTTGTAGACATCCTGTCACTCGATGACCCAGCCCAATCAACGTTAGAGAAGGCCTCAACACTCACGTGCCATGATTGACATACAAGATTCCTTTCTCGGGAGCACTCTTCAAATACTTTACAATTCAAACTACAACCTCCCAATGAGGTTCTGTAGGGGATGCCATGAATTAACTCACCACACTTACAGAAATGCAATATCAAGGCGAGTGATAGTAAAATATTTTAACTTATCCACTAGTTTCCTATACCTCTTCAGATCTTCAAGAAGCTCTCGTTTACTGGTTAGTGGCTACATGCTTAACACTCTAGTCAATAGGAGTCTCACAAGACTTTGACTCTAAGAGCCCAGAGTCTTCAAGTAAATCTAGCACATACTTCCGTTGCGAAAGAAATGTCTCTCTTAGAACGAACAACTTCAATCCCAATGAAGTACTTCAACACTATGGAGCAACCACTTGGGTTTGTTGCTCAAGGGGAGTACGAGAAGGTTTGTAATCTGAAGAAGTCGTTGTACGGATCAAAATAGTCTCCGAGAGCGTAGTTTGGGAGGTTCAGTGGTGTAATTACTAAGTTCGGCATGCAACATAGTGCCTATGATCACATTATATTTTACAAACACGCTAACCATGACAGTGTTTTGTTAATTGTCTATGTTGATGATATAGTGTTCGTTCACGGGTGATGATGCAAGAGGAATCGATGTGCTCATGTCTTTTCTTAAAGAGAAGTTCCATAATTTTTCTTTATAATCTCTTGGAGAAATGAGTTATCGTGCAATTGATTGTCTTAGGTGTGGTTGTGCGGTTAAATATGAGTCATTGATCTTGCTTAAATCAACATCCAGGATTAACAGTGATTAAAAAAACGCGCGGTGGCAATTTGATCTTTTTGCATTTAGGTCAAATTTAAGGTGCGTGGTTTTCCTTCTTAAGGTGCGTGGTTTTTGTGCTTAAGGTGAGTGGTTTTGTACTATGTGGCTTAAGGTGCGTCAGGTGTTGAAAGCTTAAGTGCATTGATCTAAAACTTTTAGTATGTGATTTTCCTTCTTAAGGTGCGTGATTTGTGTGTTTAAGTTACGTCAGTTATTAAAACTTAAGGTGCGTCGGCCTAAAACTTTAGGTGCGTGGTTTTTCTTCTTAGGGTGCGTGATTTGTATGCTTAAGCTGCATCAGTTGTTGAAACTTAAGGTGCGTCATTTTAAAAATTTAGGTGCGTGGTTTGTGTTCTTAAAGTGCTTTGTTTGTATGCTTAAGGTGCATTGTTTGTGTACTTAAGGTGTGCTATTTTAAAACTTTAGGTGCACGATTTGTATTTTTAAGGTGCTTTATTTGTGTGCTTAAAGTGCGTGATTTGTGTACTTAAGATGTGCTATTTTAATGCTTAAGGTGCATCTTTTTGTGATAACCGCCCGGGAGCAAGTTTCCACACTAGAACTCATCTCATCCCTTGGATTATGGAAATTGAACAATTTATGGTGTAGTTGTGTCAAACTAATTAAGTAAAATTGATTTATCATTTTCATTGTCCAGTTGACAGATTAGTTTATCAAAAGATTGTCAGAGACGAGAATCAAACTTCTATGACGTCCTCTTGATTCCGATCTTGACAAAAAAAAGGTCAATTTTTTCTTTCAATTCCCTTCTACTCCTTTGTTCTTTAAACATTCAAATCTCTATAACTTTCTTTCTTCGGTAACACAAATTGTTTGTTCACACAAGATTCCAAATAGGTGATTCTTTAACCTTTTTTTTTTTTTAAATAAAAATAATATCTACTTATATATCTATCTACTATCTACTATACTAATCTACTATCTACTATACTAATAAGAGTCCAAGAGAGTTAGGCCTATAATGGGTAGAAAAAATGGCGGTTAAATTTTTTAATCAAATGAATGGCTCAGATTGATCAGATTTTAATTTTTCCTTAAGATTTCCTAATTTATCCTTAATGAATATGATTTTCCGTTAACTTTTCCGTTAAATATTATCTTTTCCGTTAATTTTTGTTAGTTCACCGTTAACTTACTCATTGATTTCAATAAGAAAGGTCTTAGGTTCGAACCTCATCTCAATCACAGTTGGCATAATTAGTACTCTATTTTACTCTTATTAAATTAATAAATACTCCGTAATAATTTAGTAGCTACAACAAAAAATAATACATATGCTTTCTTTAATTTAGAATTATGTGTCTACAATGTCTTTATTCAAAAAAAAAAATTATTCATTATCTATAAATTAAATAACAGAAATAATTTCATTAGTTATATTGTATTTACTTTCTCCAATATAAATATTCTTTACATTCAAATTCATCAATTGATTATATTCGCTACATTGTCCCTACAATGCTTTATTTAAAAAAAAAATTTATTCATTATCAATAAATTAATTAAGAGAAATAATTTTATTAGTTAAATTGTCTTTATATTTCTCAAATGTAAAAATTCTTTACATTTAAATTCATCAATTGATTATATACACTACATTGTCTATTATCTTTTTTTGTGCACTATTTTTTAATTAAAGATCAAAGTTATAATACAAAATAATGTTATATATTTATTTACCAAGTATTTTATTAATACCATGAAAAAATTAAAAAAAAATATAATTAATAAAGCCAATCATATTAACTACTTTGAGGGATTTGTTGACAAAGAGAGTATTCAAATCACACAACAAATTGAAGTGGAAACTACCTCGCAATGTCCTTGTTTGAATCAGCAGTTAGCGGTTAGCGTTAGCGGATTATATTAGCGAATTTGACCAGCGAATTATATCAATGGTTGGTAAACAATAATAAAAAAATAATAATAATAATAATAAAAATAATAATAAAAATAATAATAATTGTTTAAAAAATAAAAAAAAAATAATTAAGTCAATCATATTAACTACTTGGGGGATTTATTGACAACAAGAGTATTCAAATCACACAACAAATTGATGTGGGAAACTATCTCGCAATGTTCTTGTTTGACAATCAGCAATTAGCTCTTCAATATTAGTATATATGTAATATTTTATGCCATAATTTTTATTTTCTCTCCCTTATGTCCCGTATTTGGTTTCAACCATACCTATACAATTATTTTATTGACAATTATAATCAATTTTGACTATATTATCTTGCATTTGTAATCTTAGAATTGTCTATTTAAATGCGCAAATTTAACATTCAATTATCTATGCATGAACAATTCCAATATAATCTTGTCTTGATATACTTTAAAGTACTTAATTTAAAAAAAAACATTAGGCATTATCCCAATCGCGCAATGCGCGTAAAAAACTAGTATACTAATAAGAGCCCAAAAGAGTTAGACCTGATAGAAAAAATGGCGGTCAAATTTTTTAATCAAATGGATGGCTCAGATTGTTCAGATTTTAATTTTTCCTTTAGATTTCCTAATTTATCCTTAATGAATATGATTATCCATTAACTTTTTCGTTAAATATTATCTTTTCCGTTAATTTCTGTTAGTTCACTGTTAATTTACCCATTGATTTCAATAAGAAAGGTCTTAGGTTCGAACCCCATCCCAATTAAAGTTGGCATAATTAGTACTATATTTTACTCTTATTAAATTAAATAATAATTTAGTAGCTACAACAAAAAATAATACACATGCATTTCCTTAATTTAGAATTATGTGTCTACAATGTCTTTATCCAAAAAAAAATTATTCATTATCAATA